TAGGAAAGAAGAGCAGCTTGATTCACATCTGCAAATCATCAACTGTTTTATAACAACAGGAGCAGCAATGTATTATTGAACCAAGTGTTTCTTAGACTAAGTGGATCATGTTCATCTCCTTTAATCTTGCCAACAATTCTGTGAAAGACATAGCTCAGACCCACTTTACAGATTGAAAGAAATGAGGTAAGAATCAAACTATTCATCCCCAGGAAGAATTCATTTATTTATTTATTCATTCATTCATTCATTCATTCATTTACTTATATGCTTTTATTTTATGTATATGAGTGCTATGCCTGCATGTGTGTAAGTGCACCCATGTCATGCAGTGCCCATGGGGGCCAGAAGACGGTGTTGGATCCCCTGGAATTGGAGTTACAGACAGTTGTTAGCCTCCATGTGGGTGATGGGATTCAAGCCTGGGTCTTTTGCAAGAGCAACCAGTGCTCTTAACCACTAAGCCATCTCTCCAGCCACCCCATCCCAGGAATTTAACAAAGGAAAATGTATGCTTGTGGTGACACAAAGCAAAAGAACAGTGTCATGGTTGGCTTCAGTTGTCAACTTCAAACATCTGAGAACAGGGAACCTGAAATTGGGAAACTCCTCTATCAGAATGGCCTGTGGGGCATTTTCTTGATTGTTGAGTGATGTGGGAGGGCCCAGGCCACTGTGAGGGTTGCCAAACCTAGGCAAGTGGTCCTCAGTTGTACAAGAAAGCAGGCTGAGCACAGGTAAGGAGCAAGGCAGTAAGCAGTATTCCCCCCATGGTCTCTGCTTCAGCTCCTGCCTCTGGATCCCTGCCCTGAGTTCTTGTCTGACTTCCCTCAAAGATGGGCAGTGATCACGTTGTATAAGCTAAATAAACCCTTTTCTCCCCAAATTGGTTTTGGACAGTGTTTTGTCCTAGTAATAGAAATAAAACTAGGACAGACAGTTCAATTCTTTTTATTCAATATACTTGGGAAAGAGCAGATAGGTGATATGTGAAAACTCTATAGTATTTATTGTCTTTTTTACACAGGGTACCCCTGCCATGGTGAAGCTTTGTAACCACTTCCCTCAGATGGATTCCTGATCTCAGAAAGTCACACTTCCCTCCACAGGGTTGTGCTGGGTGCTCTTTTGGATCTGAAAATGTATGAGCATTTCAGGGCAAGAAACATGACCAAACACAGATTATTCAGCGTTTCCTTCGGTACTTTTGGTCCCTTTCTGACTTGACAAATGAAAGAAAAGAAAAATATGGAAGACAGTGTTAAAGAAAGAGGGAACAGCTGAAGTCAGAGTGTAACTGAGAGTTGGCTAACATGTGGCTTAGGACTAAATCATCAAGGAGTGTCACTACAAGTCTACAGGGCTGCCAGAAGTTGGGAAGCAAAACACACTGGGGGCTCGGGGAGGGGGTGGGGTTGAGCACAACACAAGGGGTGGTGGGATAAATACACACATATGTATGATACCGTATAATACCTTGTAAACGGTAGTATGTGGTTGTTATGATGCAATGAGCCTCTGAATGCTTCTTGCATGGTGTCATGAATTTAGTATGCATGCACTAGTACAGGACAGTCTCAGTTAAATGGGAAGGGGTTAGCCAGGGACAGCTGGCTTTTCCAGGAGGTCAGGGATAGAGACTGGCAGAGACAACTGCATGGCAGGTGCGGCAGGGAGGGGGTTGGGCATATAGGACTGAAGGTAAAATAAGCTAATTGTGCTCAGAGACAAGCTTGGCTGTGAGAAATGGAATGCTCAGTGAAATGGTTTTAGAGTCAGAACCAGACTGGAACCCTCTCTTTCTTTGGCACTTACAAGCTGTAAGACAAGCAAGTTATATTTTCTGGACCTCAATTTCCTAGCTAGAAAGACAGCACTTATTTCCTGAATTGTTGGAAGTATTAAATACCAATAAATGCTCAGTCACCGTCCCTTCCACTTCTTTGTTGGTAAAAAGAAATTTTGCTATGGCAAAAAAAGCATGTGCCAGGCATTATGCTGGCATACCCACATACAGACTGCCTTCTTTATTCTATCAAAAACTCTTTGGGAGGGGCCTGATTTGTCTCCATTCAACAGAGTGGGCAATAGAGGTTCTCTGGTTTGCAGCAGAGGTCAAAGACTCTAAACCAGGTCATCAGACTGAACCGGGGATAGGAATGCTCTGCTGTTTGGTGACCTTTAGAGCAACGAGTGAGAAGACCAAAAGGGCATCAGTGAGAGGTGACTTCACAAGACATGGGGAGGGGTAGCAACTAGCAGGCGGAAACTGCCTAAATCCATATTGCCAAGTCCTTGATGTTTTATGGAATTCTTTTTGCATAACGCTGCCACTTGCAACTTCCAACCTGACCAACCCTCCTTCTGGTCACCCATTAAACAAGTAAATGAGCCCCAAGAACTTCACCTCCCCGTCCTAGCTTCCTCATCCATAAAATGGGGACTCTTAGACTACAAGATCTTCAGTCTACAGTCCCTTCTAGCTCTAAAATATGAGCATGTGGGTGGAATTATAAGATGTTGCTAAGCCACCGCATGCAAGGCCAACTCTGGAGTGTGATAGATTTTACAAGAGAGGCCCTCTCACCCAGAGTTGTTTAACTCAGAAACCCTAGCACAGTATAGTACACTGATCTCAGACACTAACTCCAAATATGTTAAGTCTGCATTTCATTGATATAAGAGCAATATCTTTCTTCACTAGGTCTTATGAAGAGGGATTAATGACAAATAATGTAATTAACTACAGCCATAATAGATTATCTGCCATTTCCTCCCTTCCTTCCTTCTCTTCCTCCTTCATTTTTTTCTGTCTTCTCTCCATCTCCTTCTCCCTCCCTCTCCCTTTCCCTCTCCTTTCCCTTCCTTCCTCCTTCCTTCCTTCCTTCCTCCTTCCTTCCTTCCTCCTTCCTTCCTTCTTCCTTCTTTCCTTCTTTCTTCCTTCCTTCCTCCTTCCTTCCTTCTTCCTTCCTTCCTTCCTTCCTTTTCTTCTTTCCTTCCTTCCTTTCCTTTCCTTTCTTTCCTTTCTTGTGTGGCGTTGGAAATCAAACCCAGGACCTGGTACATCCAAGGCATGCACCCTACCTCTAAGTTACACCCAAAAAACCATTGCCAGTTTTAATGTATTTAAAACAGAGAAGATTTAAGATGGTTAACAAGAAATATATATCAAGAAACAGAATCTTGATTTTTTTTTTTTGCCCAGTCTTTTGTATCTGCTTCTCACACAGTGAATTTGACAACAAATTTTTAGTGACTCACCTCTTTTTAAAGTCTTTTTAAAGTATTCAACAGTTTCCCTAGAAACAAGAGCACTATTTCTTTTTATATTCCCATTCCAGCAGTTTAATTAAACAATAAGTCAGGCTCCGTCATTCCTCCTCTCACGATTCCAATGGTTCACTCACCTTATTCAAAGGAAAAGCCAAGTCTACCCAGGGCTGGACACTGTCCCCTGCTCACCCTCTGGCTCCTTCTCCAGCTACCCTTTCCCTCTGATATTTACATCAGCTACCTGACCTTCAGGCACTGAATTACAAATGGCCGAAGGAGTGCTGACCCCACACTTCATACTCACTGTTTGTTTCCCCCTCAGGGATTTTTGTCCCCTGGATGTCTAGTCAGAGCGTTCAGTCTTAGAATTACCTCTTCCAATCTTCCAAGTCTTTGTTGAAATGTCATTTTCTCATCTTGTTTACAGTAGCCACATGGCCACCATCTGAGCTTTTTCCATCCTCCCATCCCCATACTTTTTGTTTGTTTTGTTCCATTTCTTGATAGCATGTCTAACTGACATTTCATATATTTTACTATTACAACTTAGGCTTCAGGATAGCAGGGATTTTTACCTGTCTGCTGATGTTCTCCAGCACCTAGAATAGCAAGCCCAGTGTTGGCACCTAACAAGTAAATTCTTACCAATAGTCTTTATTATGGTGCTAAATGCATGCATACATATAAAATAAAAATAATAAATAAAATATTTTTAAAAAGAATACACAAAAAGAAAAGCCTGCTTTTAAGAACATAGAATGAGAAAGAGAAAGAAAATGGCTTTTCCTAAGTCTTTAATAGAAAAAGATCAAGAAGGAAAAGAACAATACAAATCTGCAGAGCAGCAACTATAGCATGTAAAGATCAAGTTTTAAAACACTACTGTGGATATCTAGACTCTTGAAGACTTTGGATATTCCTCTTCTATTTCATTACCACAGGGTAATCCAAGAAGACTAACATCACACACGCCACCAGCAGGCTGTGATATAGATGAGCAGATCCTTCCCAACCATTGAGGTCCTGCTTTATTACAGCACTTATTAAGCCAAAAATAAGAAAGTGGTGAAGAATGACTTGTCACAGCAATTATTAGAGTTGATGGAGTGTAGACAGTCTTCTCAATAAGGCTTTAACACACTGTTATGCACCATAGTACATTATTAATGAAAAGGAATGCATGAAACTTGCATCAGCCTTTCCCCCCAAGTCATTTTGACATTAAATTCAAAATCAATTCTGCCTACCCCATGTGGCAAAGGGTCAGAGATAAAATGTTAATGTTTGTTGTTTACCAAAAACTTAAAATTATAGTTCAGAGCAATAATCAAGAATCTTCTCTTTTCTAATGAGCTTAATAACAGTGTTTTTTGAGAGAGCCTCAAAGCAGGAAGCAAATATAACCAGAATATAAACAAATTACGCTCTAGTTGATATCTGACAAGAGGATGGAATCTAATTTTCTCTGTGATTGAATGAACACAGACAGACACCAAATGCAAATTGCGTGGGGGGCATTTCAACTTCTCTCCTAATACCTGAGTATCCAAATGGAACTAATTCATTCTAGAAAAGGTATTAATTAGCCTGATGGTGCCAGAACAAGGGGCAATCCTCAAAATGTGAAGAAAAATAAACATATTTTACAATGATAGGCTCACCTCACATACTCAGTCATCTCAGCCAAGCATTTCACACCCAAAAGAAATATATCAAGAGTGACCTACCACCAACAAGGATCCCTGGTAAAGACAAGCACCTGTGGGAGAAATAAATAAAACAAGAATTAAAAGTGATGCATAACCAACCACTCACCACCCCAGCATGCTTACTGATTAAGCTTCATCTACACACATCAGACTCGAGCAAACTACTTTTTTAAAGCATTTTATTTATTTGTATTTTATGTGTGTGAGTGTTTTGTCTTCATGTAGGTAAGTGCACATTGTGCATGCATGCAGTATCCATGGAGGCCAGAAGAAGGTGTCTGATCCCCTGGAACTGAGGTTAGGGATGAGTATAAGCCACCATGTGGGTGCTGGGAACTGATCTTGGGTCTTGTGCAAGAGCAGCCAGTACACTTAACCATTGAGCTGTTTCTTTAGCCAAACTTGCCCAAAATCTTAAAAGCCTGAACATTCTTCTCCAGAGGAAATTACCCCATACATCAGAACAACATCTCTTGAACACACCTGAGGAAGTGCATGATTACAACGTGCTGATTTTTTTTAAATGTATTTGTAATGGCATAATATAAATACAAAGTTAGTATCCTTTGTGATCAGTCAGAAAAGCTTCCACAATTCAGTCCTAATTTATTTATCCAAGTATCTCCCATAGTTTTTTTTCTAATTTTTATTTATTACTTTTATTTATGGGTATGAGTGTTTTGCCTGCATATGTGTAAGTGCACCTGTGTCATGCAATGCCCACAGAGGCCAGAAGGGGGTGTTGAAGCCTCTGGTATTGGAATTATGGATAGTTTTTAATCACCACGTGGTGCTGGGAGTTGAGCCTGGATCCTCTGGACAAGTGTTCTTAACCTCTGAGCCATGTCTCCAGCCCCCATCCTTTGCTTATATAAATTCTTCAGATCAACTCAAGGGGCCAACTTAGGATTTCATAATTTTCATGTCTCAAGAGTTTCTTTCATTTTCAGTTCGTACAGAAGATGCATTTGCTCTACCTGAAGTTCTCAAACTTGATCCCATCCTTGGGCAGGATGACATTCTCTCTCCTTTGAGCTTTCAGCTCTTTGGCCTGCATCATTTATTTGTGAATTCATTCTTCCACAGTTCCCTTCAGTGTTACTTTTTCTAGTTGCTGTTTGTGTGCCTCTTTCTTTCTTTCTTTCTTTCTCTTTCTTTCTTTGGTTTGGGACAAGGTCTCCCTCTGTAGCCCAGACTGGCTTCCAACTAGCAATCCTCCTGCCTCAGCTTCCAGAGTACCATGTGACAATCTTGCTAAAGAAGGGAAATTGATGCGTCTGTTCAACCACACTGTACACACACTTAGAAAGAGACTGCTTCTACCTCTTTGTATGTCCTCCTGTTCATATAGTAAGGATTCATTCTTTTACTTGATAAGCACAGAAATATTAAATACCTTTTAACATAGTTACTATGTTCTCCATTGGGGAGGTTAGGCCATTTTGTGGAGGACAGTATAGATGGAAGTTATTTGAAAAGAACTTTTCTGTTGGGCTCCTGACCTCCAAAACTGGTTTCACTCCATTTTTTTTTTTCTTGGTGAGCTGCTTACAAACTGATACATCTTTATATTTTCCAGTCATTAGGCACCAAATGAAAAAAGAAGATGATTTGTTCCTAAATGGAGAAGAGGGTAGAATTTGACAGGGAGAGCTTACATTCTGAATAACTAACACATCAAAAAAAAAAAAAAAATGTCAAGTGTGGTGGTGCAGGACTTTAGTCTCAGTCAGAGGTAGGCAAATCTCTGTGAGATCAAGGCCAGCCTTGGTCTTCAGAGCAAATTCCAGGCCAGCTGGGGCTACAGGAAGACCCTGTCTCAAAAATAAAATAAATCTCTAAGTTTTATATTCAAGAACGGCATATAATTGTAATCCCAATTTTAAGAAGCACATACACACATCCTCAAGCAATGTTTGAGCAGTACAACAGGTGCTATTTAACCTGGAAGCAGGTGTGCAGTACACTATAACTATTCCCTCAGCAACTGAAACCCAAAACAGATTGAAAGAGGCAGACAAACCAAGGTGAAGTGTGTCTTCACAAGGTGCTGCACTTGGCTTTCAAAGAGGTTGGTTTTCAAACCGACACTTACTACAGTAGTCGCCTCCAATAAACCCAAAGAGGCTAACTTCCCAGCAAAGGACTAGTCCACCTTTCCCATCCTTCGTGGAATTAACAATCTTTTAAGAACAGGAGCAATGAGACTATTATTCACATTTGGGTTTTAGGCAAAGATCTCTGTGGAAAAATTTGTTGAGATGACTTGTATGTCCTTGACATTCAAATAAGAAAAACTTGAGATAAAAACCTTAGGGGAGAATTCATCTTAACTGTCTTATTTTTAAGATATTTTGTTCTGATGACAGTATTTCAGCCTACAGTATGTCATAAAAAAGGAGCTATATGTAAAAATATAAAACAGTCATGTGTATCTCAAATAAATATATGCATAGATACATCAACAATTCATTTATCTTTTTTAACATTTTATTTATTATTTTCATTTTATGTGTATGAGTGTATTGCCTGCGTGTATGTATGTGCGCCCCTGGAACTAGAGCTAAAGATGGTTTGTAGCCGCCATGTGGGTGCTGGGAATTGAACCTGGGTCCTCTGCAAGAGCAGTCAGTGCTCTTAACCACTGAGCCATCTCTCCAGCCCCTCATTTATCTATTATAATTCATTTATTGTGTGTGTGCCTGTGTGTGTGCACGGGTGTGATGCACATGTGTTTGATACACATATGTGCTTGTGCATGTGGAGGCCAGAGGTCACCTTCAGGTGCAAGTATCATTCTTCAAGCACTGTCCATCTTGTTTCTTGAAAGAGTCTCTCACTGGGCTGGAACTCACAAGTAGGCAAGGTTAGCTGGCTGGTAAACCCCAGGGAGCCACCTGTCTCTACCTCCCAGTGCAGGGATTACAAGTGCCACCCCATCTTTTTCCCGTATCGTCAACAATTCACTTTCTAAGTTATTTAAATGCACATTTTACTTCTGATGTTTAAAACATTATAATAAAACCAGGTATAGTGGCACACACCTTTAGTCCCAGCACTCAGGAGGCAGAGGCAGGTGAACCTCCATGAGATCAAGGCCTACCTGGTCTACACATAGAGTTCTAGGCCAGCTCAGACTACAGGGAAACCCTGTCTCAATAAAGTAATAATAATTTTATAATAAAAATAATCACCACTTAGGTAAAATTTAACAAAATTGAATCTTTTTTCAGACCATTAATCTTTTCACGGCTAAACAATGAAATATCTGTGACATATTCTATTTTTTTAGTTGAAAGATAAAACTGTATGTATTTGTTAGGTACAATATGGTGTTTTCAAGTGTGAATAACCTTTAGAATAATCAAAGAAAATTTAACTTTTAGGAAAAAACACAATATTTACCCTTTAGACTAAGACCATCCTCCCATACAGTTATACAGGGATGCTTTCCAAGAAACACATCCTTATGTGTTTTCATTGTTGTGTGGACATCATAGAGTATAATAACATAAACTGAAGCACATGACTACCAGTGTAGCCTCCCTGAGCCAGTGTCACTGACTCCTCCCAGAGCCAGTACATCACTGGCCAAAGCATCATCATTTGGTTGGCTAGAATCTTAGTTCTTATCTCTGTAGTCTAACCTTGTAAAGTCAGCTTTCAACTTCTTTTCAAGGCTCACAGAGAAATCTGGCACCTTAAAGAGTAACCAAATATCCATAGTAAAATCCATTTTAGGAAATTTGGCTAGATCCTAAAAATTCACTGCAATACGGACACATTAAGCAGCACTGAGAATGGACCACGTTTGCATGTGATTAAGCCAAACATCTGGTATAGACCCAGGTCAAACAATATGTAGCTGCTGATAAATTCTATCATTAGAGAAAGAAAGAACTCAATTTGGGTCACTCTATGATGTACAATTCCAAAAGAAATAAGCTTTGCCCTCTGAGGGCTTTCCTAAAACAGAACAGTTCTACCCGGAAGGCAGCCGCCTGAATGAGTGTCCATTAACACAGTTTCCAAAACCTCATTTCTACTCTCTTGAGAAAAAAAGCATTCCAGTATGATGCCCAGTCCCATCAAACATTTATCACTACCCAAAGCCAGATGAGGCCATCCAGAACAAGTATATTTCTCCCACACTATGGCAGGTCACCCGCCCACCAGCAGATGAAGCTGGGAAGTTTTCTGGCAGTGGGTGCTGGGTATTGAGCTCTGGGTCCATCTCCTGGTGTAGAACTAGAGCAGAGAGGTCTTTTCAGTAATCTACCCAGTCACATAATATGGACAGCATAGCTACTCCCTCTGCTCAGTGTTTTTTTCTTAAGGAATACTAGAACCATTGTAGACCTATCTGTGGTTTGTACTTAACGGCTTTAAAAGAACATTAAAGGAAACTCCAACTCTAAGTGAATTGTTAGAGATGGTAGGGACCTAGAAGGAGAAGTGGGGTTTTCTTTACAGGAAAACTGAGGGGGTGGGGGGCACAACTGGAGCTAGAGTTCTCAAACCAAGAACATTGCAGGTTCAGGGCATGGGTTATGGTGGCATTTGACATTCTACACTGCAGGATAAAGCAGCCACATACACAGAGCACCGTGCTGGTTAGTTTTTGTCAACTTGACAAACCATAGATGCCTGGAAAGAGGGAACTTCAATTGAGGAATTTCGTTCATCAGACTGGCCTTTGGGCATGTCTGTGGGACATTTTCTTGATTGCTAATTGATGTGGGCAGGGCCATTCCTAGGCAGGTGGGCCTGAGCTGTATAAGAAAAGCAACTGAAGCAAGCCAGGGGAGTGAGCCAGTATGCAGCATCCTCTATGGCCTCTGTTTCAGCTCCTGCCTCCAGATTCCTGCCTTGGCTTCTCTTGATCACGGACTACAACCTCTAAGTCAAATAATCTCTTTTCTCTCCAAGTCAGTTTTGGTGTTTTATCATAACAGAAACCACACTAGAACAAGCACCAAGAAGTAGACCTAGGTCCTGAGCCTGGGCTCCTCAAGGACTCTCCCTGTGTGGGTGGCTGGCTTACTGCTTGCAGGTCACATGGGCAAAATACTATCTGCTTAAAAACCAATGGGCTTCTGTATTGAAATATTTTGGAGATTATAATGTACTCCTTTAAGAGGCACCTATAAAATTATAATATTTTCAGGGAAATTTTGTGATATAATTTTTACCAGTACTTTTATCCAAAAACTATTTACCTTAGAAATGGTAACTGGTAAACTAAGTGAATTAAAATAGAACCAAAAGCCACAAAATGTCAGACAAACTAGTTAAAAAGAACTTTCAAGATATGAGGAGGTCTGGAGAGCAGGGTATCACAAAGCTATGACTCATTAGGAACACGCAGCCACAAGTTGGCATTTAAATGTTCAAGCTTTACTTCGTGTTATAATTCAGCATATGGCTAGGCACACTGTAGAATAGTTAAAATAGAATCATTTCTGGACTGACAGGACAGTTCATGTTCCAATTACTGTCAGCTAGGATTCAGATCAATTAATAGAGCAGTAAAATGAAAATGTACCAACTGTTTCTGAACAACTACAAGATTTGGCATGAAGCTCCAGCTTTCAGGTGGTGGTCCCTCCCTTCTTCTGAGCCATGTGGTGGAGAATATATTATGACTACTTGCACTTGAGTAAAACAGAGTGATATTGCCACCCAAATCCATAACAGTGAACATGGATGACAATGTCCCCACTCAAGGATGTCTATGGGAAAGCTTATACTCAGAATCCAATTCCAGAGGGCAATGGAAGTGCAATATATTAGAAACAAGAACTTATGATAATATATCACCTCCTTCTCTCTACTATTAGGTAGTTACAAAAGCCAAAATCTGCAGTTACAGTCAGTATCCATCAACTAGAAGCAGCAAAATCTCAATCCTGAAAAAAACCAAGAAGGTTACAAGTTCTCATAGGCCTTCGAGGCCAAGGACTCATGCAGAGGATATTTTATTTGCTATGATGGTGTCCCTAACCCCCGCCAGATCTAACATGACACATAGGTTTGTAAAATGAAAAACGGAGAGACTATTCACTCAGCCAATGTCTTTTCTTCTCTTATATTGAGTTTTAAGCCTTGAGTACCTCACCAAAGGGACTCTCAGACCAAACACAACAAAAGTGCTGATCTATCTTTACAGTGCTATTTTTTAAAAGCATTTATTGAAAAAAAAAAAAAGGGGGGGGGGGGGATTGTAGGATTAGCTAAAGTCACATGGTGGGGAGGGCTTAATGGAACACAGACTAGAGCTCAGTTCTCCAACAAAATTTCCCTATTTCACACAAGCTGTCTATCTGGTAAAAACTCACATGATTTCTGCATGTGAACACAACTCAAGGTGAGAGTCTCCAGAAAATGCTGTTGCAGTTTCTCAGATTCAGAAAACAGCCATGTTAGAAACTTCTCTATGACTTCTTGGTTTTTTATTATGCCCTCAAATCAAAGTAATTTATCAGTTTTGCAATCCTGGGCAATATAAAATAACACTGTCAACAACTTACTTATACAAATTCGCTTTTCTTTTGATACTTAAGATAAAATTTAGAACCAGAGCCAGTCATAGCAATGCATGCCTTTAGTCTCAGCACTCTGGAAACAAGAGGCAGGTGGATCTCTGTGAGATCGAGGCCAGCCTGGTCTACATAGGGAGTTCCAGACCAGCTGGAGTCACAAGGAGACCCTGTCTCAAAAAAAAATCTAGAACCTGAAAACCTCAGCAAAATCCGCTCCCCGCTCCATGCTGGGTATTGAACCCAGGGCCCTGAACTTGCTAAACAAGAGCTCTACCACTGAACTCAAGCCCCAGCTCCTGATCTCTTTTTTTTTCTGTTTGATAATTAGCAAACATATTTTAGAGCTACTACCACATAATATGCTTCCTCGTTTAGTTAGGCGGTTCAGTTAAGGTCAGTCAGTTAATCATGGAAGCTGATCTATTTTCGCTTAATTGAAAAGAATGTGATTTGGTAGTACTTACTCATCTGACCAGTATTCTTGTTCACTCACTGTGCTCACAGCTGAGCTAGAGACACAGGAATAACTCAGAGCTGTCCTAATTCTAAGCTCACAGGCCAGTGAGAAAAGACTCAACTATATCAACTATGATTGTGAAGAATTTAAAAGCATGTATGACACATTTTCTGCAGTTCATTAAGAATAAAATAATAAATTCTTCCATGAGCTGGTAAGTCAAAATGTCAGTGTGTGACCCATCCAACTAAGCACACATGAATATCTGATTTTAAAGACCATTCCCTAGGTCAATAATAACACTTGAGGAAATTTCTAAGGTCTGAATACTTTCTGTCTCTGACGTCATCTCTTAATTTCAAAAGAAAAAAGGATACTATGAAAGACTCAAACCAAAGGTCTTAGAAGATAGCCACTGATTGTCTGTCTGTGAAAACATTATCATACAATTAAACAAATCAAATGACGTAAACTAGGTAAAATGCTAAGCATAGTGACGGAAATAATATGTGCTCATTAAATATTTGTGTTCATTTATTATTAGGTAAGCATCATGAGTTGGCTGGAAATTTTCAGACATCTGGCAATCTGGCAATCTAATGTGTGAGAAGACCCTACAATGTTCTGGGTGTGGGTGAAGTATTTAGATTCAAAGTTTCTAAAGAATCTTTGAATGACTATCATGCGCAGGCACACACACACACACACCAAAAGACCTTGGCAGTTCATAAACTTTGCAGCTATACCAATCCTCCAAAGAGCACACCCTGTAGCCTCTTAATAATAATGGCTTTTGTCATTTCAAGAGATTTGCTTCTGAGGAACAGCATCGTTCCAACTGCCCCCTGGTGAGCAATCCAGGAGTGATAGCATGTTTTCTGTGTTGCTGGGATATGATTTTTAAATAAGAAACTGCCACAAAGTGAAACTGTAATTTTTCTAAATCCTAAGTTGAAGTTCGGGGAGCCTGGGCTGTCTCTTCCATCTGGCTAATTACTATAATTAAACCTTACACGTTTCTTAAGTATGCATTACACATGCACATACACAATTCCATTTTTTTTACAGGTCCTACATGTTTGGAAGTCGGCTACACAGGCCCCAGGCGTGCTTTTCCCTGGAACGGTAGCGTTTGATGTAATTCCCAGGACGGTGTGAGACGGTGGCGCCTAACCTGTGGGGAAAGTCCCCGGTACTGCGCATGGATTTCCTAGGGGCCGCTTGCTCTAGGGTAAGCTGGAGGCGGGAAGGGGGGTGGCTCTCTGGTGACTGGAAAGGGGATCAGGGCCTTGGTCCTCCAGCGACCTCCAGCTGCCCCTAAGCTGGCCTGGGGATCTGCACTGAGAGCCACCTCCACTTTGCCCCAGGAAGCCCACCCTCCCACATCACCGCCACTGCTGCGGCTCTAATTTGCGACTGGGCAGGTGAACTCTTCCCACAGCTGGATGAATAATGAATGAATGGAGCGGAGAGAGGAAGCTGAGAGAGCCCAGCAAGAGAGATGAAGTCGCCTTTCCCTGTCTGCCTCTCCCCTGCCCCTCGGTAAAAGCTAACTGGCCACTTTCCCTGCTGCTCAGAGCAGATGGGAGCTCCAGACTCAGCATTACATCCCGGCCCCCCACCCCCCGCGAAAAAAAAAAAAAAAACCTCTTTATTTACTGACCCCTTATCTGAGCCTAGACTGCGTTTGCTATCCTGGCGACAACTCTGTCCTTTTTCTCTCTCCCAGCTCCTAGGGTTTACAAGTAGGTTGGAGTCCCCGAGAAAAACCTGGAAAGGAGGGAGATGAGAATAAGCCTAAACTCTTACCACTTTTTCCTGGAGAAGCAGGCAGTGTCCTGCCTCTCTGTACCGGATTTATTTTAGGCAACTGAATTGCCTAGGTCCAAAAGACGCTCTGACTCGCTAGTCATACAATAAGTGGTCTTCAAGGGGGAGGCTTACTAGGGCGAGGAGAGCAAAGGGAACGAAGGAGCTTGAAGGTGGAGGAATTTGTTTCACACACAGGTGAGAGCAACTGCTCGCTGCTCATCTAGGTAGGCTCCACCGGCTGCTTTTCCACCAGAAGGTAGGGTGGGAGTGCAGAGACTCCAGTTTCAGAGATGCCATCCTAGCGCCCCCAACCCACCCACCCACCCAAATGCACCTAGGGCAGAGAGGGAACCTTGGAGGGGCTGTGATTTGACTACAAGAAAAAAACAAGAGTGGGAATTTCAGGGGAAACAAAACCCACTCAGGGTCCACCCCTCCCCCCAAATCAGAAACTTCCACCCAACCCACAGCACTAAAACACACTGAGCATTTTAAGCTGCATGAAAACGCACGCACGCACACACACCCGGAGGCACCGCTCCCTTACCTTCGGAGCGAGGCAACACTGCGAACTGCAGCGCTAGGACCACCCCGAGCCAGGCTTGGAGGACGCTCATCGCCGCCGCACTCTCGCTGAAGGAACCCAGCGTCCAGCATCCAAGAACCTGCTCTCAGTCAAGCCGCGGGCTCCGGGACGCGCGGCCAGTGGGGGACCGTGGGCTGTTTTCCCACGGGAAGGCAGGCGATGGAGCCGCCGAGGGCTACTCTAGCATCAGCCGGGAGGTGCGGATCCCGCGACAGGCTCTGCTCACTCTCGGCCGAAGTGGGGGTGGAGGGCTCGGTGGAAGCAGCTCACCGAGCGCTCCAGCGAAGCTGGCCACCGACGCTGGCTGAGCCTGGGAGGAGGAAGGAGGCTCGGTCCGCTGCCAGGTCTAGCTGGAAAGTTGCAGGTCACCGGCTGCTGGGACCCGGCAGCATTCCCTCAGGCTTAGACCGGTCCCTCCCGGGTCCCCGAGAGGGGAGATTCAGGCTCAGGCTCCTCCTCAGCAGCTTTGGAAACTTCTCGGGGCACCCCCCTCCAAGTCGGCGCTGCGTGGGTAAAGGGGGGTCTACAAGGACACCGGTGGCGGAGCCACCGGGCACTCAGCAGGGTCCCGGCCCCGGGCTGCAAACTTTGTGAGGCGCTGCGGGGAGCTCCGGGACTCACCCGCGCTGCAGACGCACCGCGCCGCTCTGCTGCACTCCTGCTGCAGCTGGTTCCCGAGCTCCTGGGAAGGCGCGGGCGGCGCCGGGGGCGCTGCTGCCACTTTCTGGCCCCCGCCCCTAGCCGGGAGGAGGAGTACTAAGGGGCGCGGCTTGCTCCACACCGACGCCCACCTCCGCGCCACGCACCTCCCAAGCAGCGCTGCCGGGTGGAGGTGCGATTACCCTAGCGGCTGCGGAGCCATAATTGTAGGTGCACCGAAGGTAGAGCTAGGCTGGAAAAGACCCCGAACTCAAGGCTACCCAGACGAGGGAGCCTGGAAACGCACGCAAGTCCCCAAGTGGATCCCCGCATTTAAAGCACACACGCTCCGCCTTCCTCGCCTTCTTCCCCTCTCCTTTGCTTGGTGTGAAAATGGACCCAGGGACTTGGAGCTTTGGCAAAGATTCCAGAGAGTCACGTGGGGAAGGGGAGCCGCCGGAGGGGGGTGGGGGAAGCTGAGAGAGCAACCTGATCCCCTTATTCATTCCGCCGGAGTTCGAATTGGCTTTGTCTCAGACGGGATCAAAAGTGGTCACACCAGGGAACCGGGATGGGGCGAGGGGGTTGGAGCTGAGTGGAAATAGGTTGTAAGATCCCCATTCTGGACATTGTTGAGGGTCCGGGAGATGGGTCCACACCCCTTCTGTCGGGAGAAGAGAGAGCGCACACTTCGAAGTCTTATCACTACCTCCCTGCCCCCCCCCCCCCCAGCCCCCCCCGCCCTTAAGGCCTAGCGCGCCGGGGCCACCCCGGCGGCGGAGCTGAGTGGAAATAGGTTGTAAGATCCCCATTCTGGACATTGTTGAGGGTCCGGGAGATGGGTCCACACCCCTTCTGTCGGGAGAAGAGAGAGCGCACACTTCGAAGTCTTATCACTACCTCCCTGCCCCCCCCCCCTCCAGGCCCGCCAGTCCTATAGGACTGAGCGCCCGGGGCACACCTGGTAGTAGTCCTCGCTTTAGAACCTTCCGGGGGCTTTACCCGCAGCCTTGGAGGGTTTTGGCTCCTGTGTTCTAGGAAGAACCTCCCACCGTGAACGCACCTTTCGGATCCCTGAGAGAACGGGTCTGAAAACACCACGCGGTCCTGGTGGGTCCAGCTGCGCCCCCAAATGCCAAAGACTGGAAAGTCAACGTCAGGGCAAAAGCCCACTGGGGTGCACTGTTGAAGGGTTGGAAACCTTGATTTCTAGCCAGGTCTGAGTGATAGCTGTTTTTATAAGGCCAAATAAAAATAGCTGGTCCAGGTTTTATCATTTTATAAGATGGGCGTGGTTGCATGGGAGCGATGCAGGCTGGGTTTCAATGGATCAGCAGAAGAGTTGCCCAAGTTCCCTTAGCAAAGCGGAGATGGCTACACTGTCTCGAAGAGTTTGAAATAGTATTGAACACCGGGCTGTGGGTGGGTAGAGCTCTCAGCGGCCTCTGGTGTCCGTGACCACCTTAAAGAAGGCACACTGATGCCATTGGGACGCTCTGCTTTGGGGGGAAACTGAGTAAAATGAAACTGCCAGATGCCTGTGACTGTTGCCAGTTAACTAGAGCAGAGAGAACCTCCGACAGCCGAGCTGTATTCAGGAGATCTAGCACATGTCCAACTATCAATACCCCTGAGCTGTTACCATTCTTGGGACAACATCGTTTTCATCACTGCATATTCAGCACATAGTAAGGACTCTGTAAACATTTGTTGAAAGAATAGACTGATTAAAACAGTAATCACCCTAGAGAGCAGCAACCATATCAAGCTTTGGCGAGGCCCAAGTTCCCTTCTTTCCCTCTTTTTGTTTAGAAAGTGGACATATTCTCAAGGCTACAGAAAGTACTCAGGTTGTCACACACTCAGGTTGGCATACACACTAACAATCAGGTTGCAACTCTTAAGCCCTCCTGTGCAGAATTTATTTGTAGCCACCACTAACTAGAAGTAATGTAAAATAATTAGTTCTCACTAGAATAAACTATTTGATTTTGTTTTTAAAAATGCACAAAATCACAGCACTCAGAACGATCTCCAGACATCTTTTATAAACATACAAATGAGCTTTTTAAAAAAGAAAAAGGGGTGAGGGAAGAGGAGGTTCAATAACACTATCGAATTCTACACAATGTTTGTTGGATTTCTGTGTAACATTTCCCTGATCCTCCACCAACCGTCCAAATAGGCCCACACAGGCCACTCATGGTCTTCCCTCTACCCTAAGAGAGCAAGTAGTCCCAGAGTTCCTGATCCAAGATCACTAAAATCACTGCTCAGGGAAGGCTATAGTCTCAGTTCTCTTTCATCAGATGCCCACATCTTTTGTTAGTATGCCCCATAACATCTCCTTGGATCAGTTTTGCTGTCATCTCTTCACACTTACCTGCCCTTGTTCTACCTCATTTAGGAGATAATACATATTGAATACTTTGTGTCTGACACACTTTCCTATGTAATCCACCAGTAACCTTACGAGATAGGCACCACTGTTATCCACTGGCAAGTGAAATGACTGATGGTTCCAAGTCAGACAGCTAATCATGACAGCACATTAGAGCAAGCAGCCCCATCTACTGTAACAGCCAAACCCCCAAATCTCAGTACCTTAATAAAAGTTCTTTGTCCATCCATCCTATTTCCTAGACATTGGCAGCCCCTGCACAGTGGACCCTGGACATCAGTGACTCCTTCCTGTAGGCAGGCCACATGGCATATGTGAAACTCACTACTGCACAGAGGTGATAATGGAACCACTGCAGCCCTAAGGGCCTCGGCCCTTTCTCTTGTAGCCCAAGAATGAGTCACATGTTCCCAGCCTACCTCAAGGAAGGAGAGGACAAGGATACATAGGAGAACATGGGGGTACTTAGTAAGTTCCTCTCTGTATTGCTTCTACCAGAGACCTGCTCTTAACTGTCTTAGCTATACCATCAGCAAAACTCCAGCTGGACCTTCCCTGCTGCTCCCAGGGCTTTGCTACACAGTCAACTGTTTTCCTGGCTATCTTTCATCTGATTTCCTTCTCACCACTTCATTCTCCTTTTTATTTCCTATTTCATTCCCTCTGTCTTCTTTCTACATAGCCACACTCTTTGTGCAGTCTCCTCTCATCCTCCCTCTCTCCTCAGATCTTCCTCCTCCACCTGCCCTGGGAGTGTTCTGGCAGTTTTGGTATATTGTTCTGGTTTGTCAGATGCAACTCATGACATTTATTGAATTTTCCTACTGCTTTATATACTTACATTAAAGAATATTTGGGGTCCAGATAGATGGAGAATCAGTCAAAGCACTTGCTGTATAAGGATGAGGACTTGAGTTTGGAGTTTCAGCACACACATTAAAAGCCAAGTATGGGGAAGGGCTATAATTCCAGTACTGGGGAAGCAGAGACAGGAGGATCCCTGGGGCTTTCCAGCTTGAAGTCAGTCTGGCCAAACTGGCAAGCTCCAGGTTCAATGAGAGACTCTGTCTCAAAAATTAAAGCTGAGAGTGACAGAGAAAAACATTAGGTGTTCACCTCTGGTTTTCTTGTGTGTGCACACAAACACAAGTATTTTATAGATCTGCATTTCTTGTAGCTCTCACCCCTCATCAAAGAAGCTTGTATGTATGGGCAGTACTAACTAGACTCAGTAGTGTGTGTGTGTGTGTGTGTGTGTTTGTGTACATATATAACAATACTAATTGAGGGCTGGAGAGATAGCTCAATGGTTAAGAACACTGGTTATTCTTGCAGAAGACCCGGGTTCAAATCCCAGCACACACATGGCAGCTAACAACTATCTGTAACTCCAGTTCCAGGGGATCCGACGGCCTCTTCTGTCCTCAGCGGGCATTGCATGACACGGGTGCACTTACCTACATGCAGGCAATACACTCATACATATAAAATAAAAATAATAAATAAAATATTTTTTAAATTTTTTAAAAATACTAATTGAAGAAGAGGCCACAAATTTGAGGATGAGTAAGGAGGAGTTGTAGGGGGAGAGAGAGGGGTAAAATGATGTTAATATAGTATTCAAGTATGAAATTCTAAAAAAAAATTAAATTTTAATTTTAAAAATGAAGCACATTTTCTTATATTTTTGTGTTTCTTTGCATATGAACGGCCTCCTTATATTCCTTTTGTTGGTCTGTTTCTATGTAGAATTTTAGCATTTCTAGTCTAGTCAACATTTTAATCATTTTTATGAGTTCAGATACTGTTTTACAGAACAGGAGGGGCAATTTATTATTTGTGGGAAATACATTTCCTTATCAGTATCGTTAGAAATACATGTAAGGTTAAAACCCAAGAAAAAGGGGGTTTAGACCTAGGACTTTTTTTCTGAAATAAAATAAGCAAATCCACCCAGTTGTTAAAATGGCTTCTTTGTTTTATTTTCCTCCCTCCAGGCGGCTATCCGACCCTTGCA